GATACTGAGATTCTATTGCTGAAGACACCACACACTTTGGTTGCAGGACACCGCAATTAAGCTGAAACTGAGCTACAAACTTCTACCCTGCTGGCTAGCTCTCATAGTGCTGGAAGGTGCTATGCAGGCTGCTGGGGGAGAAAAGTAAACAATGGTCTCACCCAGTTGTGGCTCCTGCATGCTATAGTACCAACCTGCCAGGCAAAATGCAACCACTGACGAACAGTGGCGTGCCTATTATGGGAGTAATCAGTCGTTTTCTGATTGAATATGAGGTCTACTTCCTAGGAAAGAATTCATGCTTACTACTGTAAACCTGGTCAAAACCTCACACTTAGGGATGCCATAAGCTTGGGGTGGGATGGAAGGAAAGCTCCTGCTACTATTGCTTTGTTAAATGGACATAGTGTCAAACTGCCTCCTAAATATTTATGTTTAGGGGCTGGAGAGAAAGCTCAACAGTTAAGAACACTTAGTGCTCTTATAGAGGTTTGGAGTTCAATCCCCAGCACCCATGTTGAGTCATTCACAACTGCCTGTAATTCCAGCTACAGGCGGTCTGATGATTCTGGCCTCCATGGGCACCTACGATTACATATACATAACCCCTTCCATAATTAAAAAAATATAGAAAATATTTATATCCACAGGTAAGTGCTGCTCTCATCCTTGGGTCAGAGTCCTGAGAATAAGTGACTGTTGAGTTCTTAGCCCTAAATGGTACATCTATATCACCCTTCCAAGGTTCCAAGAACATCACTGAAGAAGGGGCTGAAAAGAATGTATGGTCTGGAGGATGGGGTATGCTATGAAACACCGCCTTCTGGACATGACATGCCTGTTGCACTCATGGACTCATAGAAACTATTGTTATCTACACAAGATTAGGTTCATTATCATTCTATCATGGATGGGGGAAGAGGGCTCATGAGGCCCTACCCTTCCTTGAGGAGCTACCAACAGTTGCTTGGAGAAGGGAGAGTAATTTTCATAGTGGTATAGCCACTGTTAAGCTGTTCATGCTCCAGTAAATAACCCTCCACCCATGCTCATGTAAGCAACTCTAATTAAACTCAGTGGGTCACATAATCAGGACATGAACATAGAAGAGGAGCTTGTTGGGAAGAACAGGTTCAAAGGGAGTGAGTTAGGAGGTGATGGAGAGGGGCTGGAGAGATTGTTCAGCAGTTAAGAGCACAGGCTGCTCTTGAAGAGAACCTGAGTTCGATTCCCAACACCCATATGGTGGCTAACAACCATCCATAACTCCAGTTCCAGGGGATCTGATACCCTCTTCTGATCTCTGTGGGCTGCATGACATGGGTGCACTTACACATACGCAGGCAATATACTCATACACATAAAATAACAAATATTTAAAAGAGGTCATGAAGAGTAAGTATGATAAAAAAATACCTACATACATGTATGACACTGTTACAGAATTTTTTTTTAAAAAAAGATGGAGTGAAAACAACAGTCTCTTAAAATTGCTGGGAGTTGGAGAGACGGCTCAGTGAGTGAGTACTTGTTCTGTAATGCTGAGGACCCAAGTCTGAATCCCCAGCACCCATGTAAAAAGTGCAGCAGTGGCTGCATATGCCTGTAACTCTAGCGTTGGATGGAGGTGGGAGGGTCTTGGGAGCTTGCTGGCCTGCTAGTCTAGCTGAAATGGTGAGCTTCTGTTTCAGCGAGAGACCCCGCAATACGGCAATAAGGCAGAGAGGGAAGATGCAGGACATCTTGCAGTGGCCTGTGCATGCACACATACAGGCATGAGCACCCTGTTGCACATACACAACGCAGATACAAATTACTGCATAAACTTAAATGACTAGTTAAGTCATCATTAACAGTAAGAAGACAGAAGTGCTATGCAGAGTATTTCTTTGCACTATACTAACCATCTGGGAAAGTGAACCTGAGGTGCAGAGTGCAAAATGTCACACGCAGAATACAAGCAGTAATCGTGATCACAATTTAATGTTTGGAAACTATAGGACTCACTTACAAACACAGTGATAAAGAAACTAAAATGCACCTACCTTAGGAAGCACAGATTTGTATTCACCAAAGGAGTAAGATTCTCTGAAGGTCAAAGTTAAAATACATTCAACATGATCAACAGGCAGTGAATGGTCTGCTCAGAATTGAAGTGTTTACAAAGCATTTGGAAGGATCACTGGATCAAACATTCATTTGATTATGGGAAGCCAGGAGAACAGGAGAATGGAAGGAACAGAAGGTGCTTGAAAGCTAAGTGTAGGATTATGGATATAACCGGTCAATGTAAACTAGGTAGTCTTAAAAGAAAATACAGATAGGTAATTTGGGCACCAATTTTTCTTTCTTAAGGCACTAGAAAGGACAGTGGTTAGAACTGTGCTGGCATATAAATCACAGGGCTGGAAAGATCCGACTTGTCAGAAAACAAAAACAGAGATACGTCCTTGGACAGAACTTTCCCCTAAGAAGCTCCATGAGGGGTTTGGATTAGAAGAAGGTTTACTTGAGAAATAAAGATTACAACAGAGGTTTAGGGAGGAGCCCAGCCAAGCATAGTTTGATAGAGCTGGGCATGGTGGTGCACACCTATGATCCCAGCACTAAGGAGGCAGAGGCAGGAGGATCTCTGAGTTCGAGGCCATCCTGGTCTACAAAGTGAGTTCTCGGCCAGCTGGGGCTACAGGGAGACCCTGTCTCAAAAGACAAAAAAAAAAAAAATTTGATAAAGCAGTTACTGCTTCCAGTAACAGTCTCCTGGTAGAAAGGCTCACTAGATGGTAAATGCAATTTTTATTTTGTAAGAAAAAAAGCTTAAGCTGGGGCTGGAGAGATGGCTCAGTGGTTAAGAGCACTGACTGCTCTTGCAGAGGACCCGGGTTTGATTCCCAGCACCCACATGGCAGCTATGAACTGTCCTTAACTCCAGTTCCAGGGGAATTTGAAGCCCTCTTTTGACCTCCACGGCACTGCATGACACCGGTGCACCCACATACATGCAGGCAATACACTCATACACATAAAAAATAAAAATGATAAAATATTTTTTTAAAAAAGGCATAAGCTGAAACATGAAGGATTTAGTTTCAGTATAACAAAGTTTCAACAAAATCAGTCTTGAGAGTCAGTGATAGTAATGAACAGGATCATATGGGACCTTTGCTCTTCAAAGTTCTAAATGCTCATGACAGGCTTTCCAAATGGAAGGGGAGAGGGAAGGCTGGAGATGGCACTTTGGGTTCCTGCATGTTCCTGTGTTACTTTGTGTATATGATGCTATTTGTTCTATAACTCAGAGGTAACACCACATACCTACTGTGAGACTTGAATTCCCTTTGGGATTATCTAATTCCTCATACTGCCTTCCTTTAAGGAAGGTTAGGCAAGTGGATCATATTCAGTCCTTTCACGCAGCAAACATTCACGTGGGCTTCACAATGAATACAAGTACACATTCTTAAAAAAAGAACATTTTATTAGTTAACCACTCTCACCTGAAGACAGATTACTGAAGATTAGTTTTCCTTTATCAGAGTAAGCAAGCTTCAAATGCAGTCCTTGCACTGTTGTAATGAAATTTCTTTTCTTATTTTTATTACACATGGTCTCATGAAGTCCAAGCTGGCCTTGAACTTGCTATGTAATGAAGGCTAGCATTGAACTCCTGATGCACCTGCCTCCACCTCCCAAGTGCTGGGCTTGTAGGTGTTACACTACTAGTTCTGGTGACATTTCATTTTTATATTGGTATGCCAGTTAAAAATTATGAAATGGCATTATTACTGTGGGATTTTTGTTTAGTTAAAATCTAGAAAAACAAGATGTTTTATATTCAATTTAAGTAGAACTTTGGCCACAACTGATTTCTACATTTCCAAACGTTATTCTCTAGCTTAATAAACAAAGATAACTCAAGCATATTAATCTTGGGAGGTTAGCAAATGGAGAGGCAAAAAGCTGGAAGACATTTTTTCTTTTATCCTCTTGAAGAGGTCTTGAACTGATGATCAATCGATCTCTTGTTAAAAATTCTGGTAAGTAGCTGGTTTTGTCACAAACTAATATTATTTGTAAAGTATTAGTAGCTACATGTTGAGTCATTTTTTACTTTATTATTAATGATATGAAAGGGATCAATTCTCCCCCCACCCCCTGAAGGGTCTCACTATGTAGCCCCGGCTGGCCTGGGAGATCTGCTTGCATCTGTGTCCCAGGTACTGGCCCAATCATTTTTTTTTTTTTTTTGATCATGGAATCCAAGACTTTGTGCATGTAGGCACATACATTATCACTGAGTTAAAATCTCAATTCCCCAAAGAACCAATTTCTAAAAATAAATGCATGGCTCATATGCTAAGATCATATACAAAGAGAAAAGCTGACATTACAACGAACATAGTAAAGCTGTCTGGGTTTGAAGTCAAGCTGGTGGAATTAGGTAACAGTATATTTACAGTGTATGTAGATAAATATTTTCAGTCCTGGTAAACTCATCTAGAATTATTTAATAAAAACCAATCCCCCAGACACACATACATTTATACTCTAAGGATTGGGCCACTTCCCTTTTTCTAAGTGGTTTATTAGCAGAGTGCCCACTTAGGAACAAGTACAGTGGTATTTCAGAGAACATAAAATGATGGGGCATGGATATTAAAAGAATCATTTGTCTGAAGGCAAGATGTGGGGATTAGATGTGTATCAGTCAGTATGAAACAATCAGAAGAACTTCCACAGTTGTTTTGAAAAAAATAACAAATGTGTATAAAATAAGGAATCCTGTAGAACTGGCAATTTGACATTACTGGTTGAGAGTCAATAAAAATAACAGAAGACCATATGGTGGTCTACAGCTAAGAAATTAAACAATTCACAATTTCAATTTCCACTAAAATATTTATTTAATTAAAGATATCTTACAGAAATAAATAAGAGATTTTCTCTAATACTGAGAAGTAGAGATATCAATATATCATTGCTTTTTTAAAAAATTGAAGCATATCAAATTGTTTTTCCTAGAACACAGAGCATGAAGGAATACTAGGAAATAAGCAAAAATAAGTACTTAAATGGTCTCATTATTAAGTTATAGCCATTAGGCTTCTGAATCTTAGCATGACATATGATTTAGTGGAAGAACATTAGGTGTGAAGCCAGGGGGCCTGGGTTCTAGAAATGTGTATTTGCTACATGTCATAGGCAAGTTTCCCAGTATTTCTGAACATTAGCTCTTTACCTTTGAAACAGGAATTTTAATTTTATCGACTTCCCTGGAATATTAAATACATGAACATACAGAAAAGCTCCTTACAACATGTAATGAGCTGTAAAAATATTGGATTTCATATAAAAGAATCAATGTGTATCTCCTGTCAACTAAAGAATAAGCACCAAAGACGTGTCTTCTTCAGTTGAGTTGCCACCTATAAACCTGGAGTAGGAAAATGCACCTTAGCTAAGCACCGAGCTCTTGGATGAAGTGAGACCCAGGGAATGTTTCCAGTACAGTTTTCTGGGAAGCTAGGTAGGAGCTAGTGAGTCCTGAGGGTTGTTTAAAACTGTGAAGGCTCAAAGGAAAGGAACCTAGAACATCTGTATTACATCACAGGGTGAGGACATGACAAGATACTCCTTATTTTGTGATTTCAAAGTCATCCATTAATTCTTCATGGAAGAAGAATGCTCAGTTTTATCACTTATGTTATTTGTGTATATGAACACAATATTATCTTGCATGTAAAATCAAATACTAGTTCCTAAGGGTATGAAGACTGAAATGAAATCACAAGCTTTATCACAAATTCAGATATTAATGAATAAAGTAGCTACTCAAGAACATGGGAGGGGGATACAATCTAAGGCATCAGTACAAAAATGATAAAAACCCATCACATATCTATGTCATAATACATTTCCATGTCATAATAAGACTCCAAATCATAAAGCTGAAATACTTACAGATATACCAATCTTAAAACACATAAAAACTTAATAAAAAGAGTAAACAGATAATTTTAAGGTAAATGTTAATACATGTAAAAACGTTGTTTAAACTACTTAACAATGATACCACAATGCATACTGGAAAAATGAATCTTTTAGTATTTTTATTTTTTAGTAGCAAGATACAAAAAACTGATAAAACTGTCTAACAATTTATCATTAGAAGTTGTACTACTGTGGAGTCACTATGCATGGTGTTACAGTTCAAACTTATGCAAATAACTAGCAGTTATTACAGTTCAGCATTTTCTTAAAATACTACTGACAAGATATGGGTGAATCATATGCTACAGACACTGAAGGCCTTTCAAAGTGATCCAGACTGGCTGAATATTATCAGGCCACATAAGACTACAGTAGTTTACCTTCTCTCTTATGTAATTCTGACTTTCTTACCAAGGATCTAGCAAATGAAAAGCATTCATTCAATACCTCTTAATTCCCTTGCCTTATCAGGTATAGGTATTTATTGGAACAAAAATTTTTCAGGAGTATAAAACTAAAAATATGTCTTTTGAAAACAGTATATTGACAAGGGCTCAATATTTACAAGGCCAGTGCAAATCCAAACTAAGCCAAACCAAACCAAACCAAACCAAACCAAAAATAAAACAAAAATTCACTGAACTTGAAACAGCATTTACTGATATCTACTCATTTTTTAAAAACTTAAACTTTGCTTTACCACTATGAAAGCAAGTAATATACTAAAGTCTGTGGAATGATCTGATGGCACTTCATTCAAGCTCCTCTGTTTCTTTGGTAAACAGGTCTGCCAGATCAGCCACAGTTAACACGGAGGCTTCAGAATGCTTCCCGGATGAGCTAGTGTGACTGCAAGTGGCCGCAGGGAGAAAGAAATCGGATGGAGTCAGTGACCGCATTTATGATAAGAAATAATTTATGACAAATACATATTTGCTCCTAAGTTACTGTAAGTGAGCCGTAAGACATTCAGAATTTTGCAATGAGACCATTACTGCTCATCTAAATCAGTAAAAACTTCTGTAAATTATTTTCAGGCTTTGTCATTAAATGTATATTCTTTGAAGAATTAATTCTACAACAACAAACAAAATCCCTAAAAGAGAGAAGACATCTGACAGCTGCTGCTAAGAAGATTCTAATTTACTGTTTACTTTTACCAACTAAGCTAATTAGTTTGAAGGTAAGTTCAACAGCTTTGTTATTTAAGCAGATGAAATAAAAATAACAAGTCTATAACGTGGCAACATTAACAAAAAGCCTTCATGTGGGGCTGGAGAGATGACTCAGTGGTTAAGAGTACTCTCTACTCTTGCATAGGACCGGGTTGGGTTCTGAGCACCCACATGGCAGCTAACAGCCATCTGTGCTCTAGTAACCAGGGGATCTGATGCCCTCTTCTGGCCTCCATAGGCACTGCATGCATGGAAGCATAATATACACAGAGGCAAAAAACTCATAGACATAAAAATTAAAAGAAGTGCCTTCCTGTTGTGTTGTAAAGCCCCTGGGTAGCTAGCATCTTTCCTTCTTGTACATCACCAGAGTAAGGAATTTCTGGTTTCAAAATGTTTCTTTGCTACTCAAAGTACCTCTGCAGACACAACTCCTTCTAAAAAGTCATCATCTCTTCCAATCCTGCTCATCTCACAAGGAGGATATCAGTTTATTTCAAAATGTTAGGAAGTTTAAGAACTGCAAAGGCAGTTTAAAAATCAGGTTGTTTTGCTCTTTGTGTGCCTGTTATGCCTTTGGCATGGACACTACAATCACCAGCCAAGATTTTCAGTTCAGACACTCCAATCCACGTGACTAGCAAGTATAAATTATAAAGAAGCAACACAGACTAAGGCTCAGGCAAGGCATAAAGATATATTTCATTTAAAAAAGAATTCTAATGTGGCAAAGAAAAGCCAGTTAGCTTAAGAATTTTTGTAAATTACAACCTATTAACAAATTAAGTCAAATATAGCATGTCGAAAGTTTTAAACTGGTAAACAATAGGTAAAATGCCATATTTTGCTTTAAAAAACTATCCGTGTTTCTATCTTTAGTTGTCATAGAACTGAAGATGTTTCACAACACTCAGATGAACAGGAAAGCTCACCCAGGACTTGCAGACTGCTACCTACCTCCTCCCTGCAGTTTTCAGCATGGCCTGCATTCGCTCTTCTATTGTTGCCTTAATTAAGAATCTGTGCACAATAGTGGGTCTAGAAGGAATGTAACACTAAGTTTAAAACCATCCTAAGACAAATAAGTAGAAATGAACTTCAAACATCACATGCTACATTCCCCAGTCTATTGGTGCCCACTTGTAGCAGGAACTTATCAGTGTGCTGTGGGATAGACCATTAGTAAACATCAACTATATGATCTCTATACACTAACATTCTCATGAGGGAAACATGATAAACACATGAAGTTTCATGCATAGATAATGCCATGAAGAATTGAAACAAGAGAAATGGGAATGAGGCATTAAGCAGAAGAGCAGCAAGAACATAAAAATCGAAGAAATAGTGTGTACATGTACAATACTGAGAAAAATGCTTAGAATTGAGAAAAAAATGTTTCAGGGTCCAACAGAAGGCTAGCGCGGTACAAGTATGTTGTAAGTGAAACAGAGGTAGAGGTTTGAGAAGTGGCCAGGTTTCAGATCACGTAGGGTCTTTCGGAACAAGACCAACAACTGGATTTTATTGTGGTCATAAGGGAAGGTGCTCTAGGGGTTATGTATAATTTGATTTATACTGGACTGTACTTGGAAATGCCTTTGCTACTGTGGGGTCAGAGAAGAGTTAGTCATCCTGGCAAGAGAAGATAGATTGTACTATGTGTCAGTGGAGATAGGAAAAATCAGCAGATGAGGAATATCTTTGAGATAAACAGTCAATAAGACTAGAATAATAATTTGAACCTAAGACATGAAAAGACATGTACAGAAGAGTCCTAGATATTTTATCTGAGTAACTACAGATGACAGATTTGCATTAAAATATGAGGACGGCTTGAGCTGGCTGAGAATGCAGCAGGAATGCAGTTTTGCTTTTACCCATGTTAAACTTGAGAGACCTCCTTGAGATGCCTACTGTATATCCTTGAAGGGGACATAGCATCCCTAGATATATACAGAAGGAATCAGAACTGAAGTTGGGAATTTCTGGGTTGAGGTATGATATACTTTTGAGTCTCCAACATACACATGATACTTAATGCCACTGGACTGGATAGACTCACACATAGAGAAGACAGAGACAAAGAACCAACAGACCACTGATAAGAAATAGGTCACCAATTAAGCTAGTCATCGAATTTCAGTGGTCATCACAGGGACAACTACCCAAATAGAAAAGTGAGAGATGAGGAGGTGGAGGCTGAGCGTGAGCGAGTCAGTTTAAAGAGTCAGACATATCTATGCGATGTATTACAGGAGGAAGGCCCCTGAGAATATGAGAAAAGATGAGATTTTGGACAAATGAGATGGTTGAGAGATGGGCATTTCTTCCACTGTAATAAAAGGGATAATCAACAATGTACTCTCCTATTACCAGATCTATGCTCCTTCTTAAAAGTGCTAAGCCCCAGACCCTCTGGCCTACTTGAGGGCAATGCCCCAGCACTCTACTCCATCTCCTTTTTCCTAGTTTTTCTGTTTCTAATGAATCATTCTCTAATTATTCTTTCCATTTGAAATCAAAAGAAAAAGTAATTTCTCAATTTTATCCTCTTTAGTTGCTCGTATCTTCTGGGTAACAAAATCCCTCAAACTCCTAGTCCTATGCCTACATAGCAACAGCAGGGTGCTATGGTTATAGCATGGACTATGGAGAAAGCAGGCTGTGTGTGCATCTGGCACTTCACCTCACTGTGTCACCAAACACAAGCTATCTAATCCTTCTCTTTGTGTCTGCTGAACTAAAGATTAAAAAAAAAATCCCATTTTTCTCTTTTAGGCACTCTCTTGTTCCACTCCATTTAAACTGCTTTTGACCTTCATGCTGCTAAAACTAATGATCAGATCCCTATAGTAAGACTCCTATCTTACCTGACATTTTGCAGCACATGACAACTGACCATGTCTTCTTCCTTGGTTTGGTTTATATCTGTCACCTTTGAAGGTCCCTTCCCTTCTTCCAAAACCTTTTAACTGTGGTGTGCCAGGGCTAATTTAAATTTAGTTCATGGTTTAACCACTATATTGACTCTCCCTCTCTAAGTAATCTCATTCATACTCATGACTAAAGTCCATGGTGTTATTTTCAACTCTCTTACACCCAAACTCCACTATGTCCACAAATACTGTCAGTTCCGTCTTCAAAATCTACCCAGAACCTGACTATTCCTCACTAAGTACCCTGTTACCACCAATCAGGTTACCTTCCACTGTCTCCAAGACTGCATAACTTCCCTGCCTCCCTTTCACCGTTGACCTGAACAAAGCACTCAGAAAGATTCTTTCAAATCTTAAGTTAGTCATGTCTTTCCTCTGCTCAGAGTCGTCCAATTTGGGCCCCATATGATCCTAGACTTCAACCTAAGCCCTCTGACTTCATTTCCTGCTTCTTTCCACCTGTCTCACTCTAGCAACTCTGTCTCCTTGATCTTTTTCTTCAGAAACATTCCTGACTTACAGACTTCACACTGATGGTACTGTCTGCTTAATCATCCTTTCTCAAGATAGCTACATGATTAACTTTCCAAACTCTTTCAAGTCTTTGCCCAGATGCTGCCTTCTCAGGCTGGATTCCACCCTAGCCATCTGTGCTTAAGTCTTCCTTACCCTGCTCAACTTTCCAGCTCCTAACAGAGCATATTCTTCACTTTTACACCTATTGCACAAGAGCTATTGTTTAACCAATCTCCTTATAAATAGAATATAAGTTCTATGAGGACATCTCAAATGTTTAAGGTTGTACCTGGAACATGGAAAATGCTCAACAAAAATCTACAGAGAGAACAATTTGAATTGATGCACGCTGGCTGCTAAAGTAGGAGAGATTTCTTTACTCTAGTCTGCTTGTTTTCCCTGTATGAGGGAAGACTGGCACTGTGGAGGAGGGTACAGAAGATTCTGTAGCCTCTTGGAGGAAGAGAAAAATTTATTTACTAGGGAAGCACAGAAAGATTGTTGGGTAATACTAACCTTATTAGACTTAAGATTTTTAAATTGAGATGAGCCTTATCTGCATTTTAGAAAAATACTGGTATGACAAGAAGGCCAGCAGATGGCTCAGGTGATAAAAGTGCTTGCCAAGTAAGCACAATAACTGAGTTTTAAGCCCTAGAACCTGAGTTCAATCCCAAGAACCCACATTTACAAAGAAAGGGAGAGGGCTTGAAAAATAGCTCACTGGGTAAGAGCGCTTACGGAAGACTGAATTTTGTTCCCAGCACCTAGACGGCAGCTAACAACCACTGATAACTCTAGTTCCAAGGGATCCAACTCTCTCGTCTGACTTCCATGGGAATTTCATGCATGGATGCACTATGCAGTACACCATAGGCCAGCTAGCCCAGAGTATGCAACCAGCAGAAAAATAAAGAAGACCCTGCGCCTCAATAAAGTGGAGGCAAGAACTGACACCTTAAAGTTGTCCTCTGGCCTCTACATGCACACTGTGGCACATGAAAGCCTATGTACACACAGAAAAAAAATAAAAAATAAAAAAAAAGAATTAAAAAATTAAAGAATGTGCTTAAAATAAATTACAAAGTAAAAAAAAAATCTAAGACATAATTGCATTTTAAATGGCATTTGGTGGTATTTTAGAATAGGCTTGCATTGATTACAGTTATATTACTTTGCCATATTTTGTAGGTGGCACTATCTCATATGCTGGGGTCAGGATTAATAGGAAGGAGAAAGTGAGCTAAGCACCAGCATTCGACTCCCAATGCCCTGAGGATGGATGCAATCTGACCAGCCATCTCCTGTTTCTGCCATACTGAATTTCCCACCTTAGAGGACTATACTCTCAAACCATGAGCTAAACAACCCTCATCTCTTAGTTGCTTTTGTCGGGTGTTTGTCACAGCAACAAGAAAAGTAATTAAAACAAAGATCTTGTCTCTTTCCCATTTAAAATTAAAGATCTGGATTTGCTCTCCCAGCTGTTGTTTATATAACAGTCCATAGTTCTGATTCTGATATGCAAGAGCTCACGGGCCACTCCTTTGCTCATGTTTTACTAAAGCAGTTCCAAACTCTCCAGTTGGTGAAAATGCCAGTTCAGCACTCTTTGTTTCTTCATACTCAATTGTGTTGACTGTATGCCCAATTTCAAAATTATTATTCCTTCAACCTAATGTCTTTCTTTATTCTGTAGGGCACAAAGGATACCTCTTTTTGTTCATGTGTCTTTATTCTTTCTTTGTGCTACACAGTGGCCTTGCATGTATTGTGCTAGATGGGAATGGGTTGTCTTATAAGACTGGAGTCCTCAGTATCTAGCACAATGCCTGACATACTTAGTAATACTTATTAAATGAGTACTTAGTCTCTCTCTCTCTCTCTCTCTTTCTCTCTGTGTGTTTTCAAATATTCAAGGTACTTACATCCACGAGGTAACATATCTGGGAAGCTTTGTCACAGCTAGTTGTATATTCTGATGTTTGAATAAAGGAAGTTCATAGTGCATAATATTCACTATTACATTTGGCTGAGGTATTACACTAAATCTAATTATCTTTATTACATTTATTTATTTATGCATTCATTTTCTGTGTTTGTGTGTGCGTGCATGCATACATGTATGAGCTTATGTGTCGAAGCTAGAGGACAACTTGTGGGAGACAGGTCTCTCCTTCTACAATGTGGGTCCTGGAGACTGAACTCAGGTCATCAGTGAAAAGCACTTTTACCCACTAAGCCCTCATACCAACCCTCTAATTATCTTTAGAACTGACCTAGGATGTATCCTTTTTTAGGGTAAGAATTTCAATAGGAGTCATTTACTTTTAATCATTCATGAAGTATATCATCTTTTAAACACAGGCTATTTATTTAAGTCAATCAAATATTAGCTCTTAAAGTCATATGACAAATATCTTAAGTATCCCCAAAAAGCTTTTTTGGGGGTAAACTGAATAACCAGGTTTTTGTAAGAAGAAAGACCGAAATCTGGAAGATCTCAGGAGTTTGTTGCTTAGAGGCGAAACGGTTGAGAATTTCATGCCTTTTGGCCATACAGTAATGCTTAAAAATTTAAAAAGAAGTATGGGTTGAGCATCCCTAATCCAAAAATATAAAACTCTCTGAACATACTTAAGTTACAAGTGACATCATGTGATTGGTTGCAGTCAAAATCTATACTGTATATAAGGTGAAGCATAAATCAATTTCACGCTTAGACCTAGACCTCATCCCCTAAATATCTTATTAAATATATTCAAATATTCCAGAATCTGAAAACAAAACAAAACAAATCTGAAACATTTCTAGTTCCAAAGATGTTAGGTAAAGGATATGCAACATGTAATTTAAAACAGACCATGATGAATATAACAAAGAATTTAAATGCTGACTTAGTTCCTATAACCTGAGGCAAAGTGACTGATGCTCATTTTAGTTCTTACTTTGTCTGTCCAATCCTGTGCACCCTCCCAATGGCCTGAAGCTCATGGGCGGGGTTCAGTATGGGCTCTACCAGGAGAACATGAGTTGCTTCAATGATAGTTAATCCATTAGAGCCAGTATGCAGAGGAAGCAGCAAAATATTGATTTGGGGATCATGTTTAAATGCTGAAAGGTTCTCCTAAAAAAAGAAAAGGCACATTTTAATCTTAGCTAAATCAGTTAAAGAGCATTATGGTAGAGCTCAAGTTAAACATGGTAGTGAAAATTAAATGTAAAATCACCAATTTTAGAAACTGTAACCTTATTATTTGTCTTTAATTATAAGGAGGAATATTATATAAATACTCTTGCTTTTATAACAGTGAAATCACATGACAGATACATGTGATGTATGAGAGTTAAACCACATGAACTTAGAGGAAAATAAGGGAAAGGGAAAACATGCAAAAATGTAAGGCAAGAATATGCTAAATTTTCATTAGGTCTTTGTGTGTGTGTGTGTGTGTGTGTGTGTGTGTGTGTGTGTGTGTATGTCTTAAGGTGTGGTCTCACTGTGCTGAGTATTATAGCAAGGAAATTCTGACCATTTGTAGTCTTGTCTGATAAAGAATTTACAGAATATAATCCCATGGTACAATGACCCCTTCGAAAAGGGATATCACAGGCCATCTTTTACTGTGCTGAAAAGAATCTCAAGTGAAAAACAAATATTAAAGATTCTTTTTTTAGGGGTACAATCAAACCAATCAAAACCATTTACAGTTTCTCTACTTTGCTTTAAAATGTTAATTTCATAAGTAAGCAAGAATATAAAACCTTTGGGGCTCAGAACAAAGATAACAAATGTAAGTCAGTCAGTAAACAGAGTTTTGGTGTGCAATGATTCACTACGAAAACAGAGGAAATTGACATACATACCTGAAAGGTCTTAATGCGACTGATTTGCGCAAATTCCATGTTGTTGTCAGTGAGAGCTTTTGAAATAATATCTAATACATCTTGCCACTAGAACATAAAACGTGGGAAAACCAGTATTTATGCATAGCTTTGTCCAAAGAGGATTTGAGAGGGGACTAAATCATAAGTAAATTACAGTAATAAAAAATCTTCAGTTAAACAAAACAGTCCAAAACCTTCAAATTCAGTACTACCAACAATATTAACTCTATTATAAAACAGTATTTTTTTTTTCTTCAACAAATGCTGGCTGACAGATAGGGTAATAAAGAATGAGTATCTCTGAAAATTGAATTAAGATACATCATATAAAACAATGGAATATTTCATTTATATAGTTACTCATCTTTCTAAATGAAAAACTAGAGTTGTCACTATATATGACTAATTTTATATTTATATGTAATTATTTGGTACATTAACTTACTTTTCTTAAAGTCAAACTCTTTTATGAATGAGACTTTCAAGGTTATAGATTCCAATTTTTTAAAATATCGAAATCAAACTCTAAATAAAATGAATATAAAATCACAAAATATAATTATAGGAACTGCCTTTATGAAATATCATCACAGTGCTCTGGCCATAACTCTATCAGGATATGAGAAAAATCTAAGAGTAATTCTAGATCTTAATTATATTATGATAAGCATTAAATTACTTCTCAGATAATGATTAAAGTACAAAAACCAGCAAGATTAAGGCTGAAAAGTTGTGATTATACCGTTGAGAAAACGAGTGCTTTGGCCCCTGGATCTCTGAGCTTTATTTTCATCAGCGTTCTGACCACAGCTTCCACTTTTGTAGAATGGCTGCCCTTTGAACACAAAGAGGAAAGCACATTACTACCAAATCTAGATAGGAATGGAAAGAAAGAGCAGCACAGAGCACTTCATTAACACTGTATGTGTATCAGAAACAATCAGCAGTAGTGTATGCATTTAGTCTTTTTTGTATTGTGTTTGTTAGGCATCTTCTTTAGCCTCTAATTGTAGAAGTTACATAACTTACACTCAGTGGGCTGTAGAGATGACTCAGGAGGTAAAAGTGCTTGTCCTTTACCTGACTACAGGAATTTCATTCCTGGAGCCCACATGGTAGAAGACAGAGCTGATTCCTACAAGTCCTCTGACTTCCACACCTGTGCCTGCCATGGCATGCACATGTTCCCTGTCCTCCCAAAAAGTAAAACCAATGAATAAAAATATATTTCCTGAAAAGAATTTACATCAAGAAAACTGCACATAAAGATCCACTAGGAAGTCATAGAGCAATATGATACAAAACAATTTTTTAGTCAAGTAGCCAGGTTTTAATTATAAAATTTTGTTAAAGCAGCAAAATATATATTCAAAAACCTTCTCATTACTCTCGCTTATTTCAAATATTTTAAGATTAGAAATGCTAACAATACAATAAGTCAAAACAACACATTTTGCAAACACTGAAGGATTCAACCAATGAACATTTCCTTTCAATGCCATGACCAAGGACAATGACAGAGAGAGAAATGATACTCACTAGGGTGGAGGGAGACTTACACTAACCACTTGTGTTCTTCACTTTTCGGAACTATTCTATTAGAGAAATATGGAAATAGAAAGTGGTTTAAAATTGAGGAGCAAATCAACAATGAAACTGTGGTGTGTTTGTAGCCCTCAAGCAGCATACTCCTGAATATTCTGTGGACACTATGGAGGGGAGGAAGGGTGTGGGATTCTGAGTGAGACAAATCAAAGTGCAACTTAGAGCTCTACAGACTCTAACCTTTCCAAGCCTCTCATCCTGTCCTGTCAAAAAGATGATAGGGTACCTCTTTCCAAAGGCGGTTGAGACAACTCAATGCCAAATGCCAAATATTTAGCTTAACATCTGGCAAATAAACATTCAATAACTTATCTTTTCAGACCTTAAGTATGAACATTATAATGACCCAGAGTATATCATTAAGGTGGGGGAAGGGTACAGACCAACCAAAAAGCAAAAATATTTCCAGTGCAGCATTAGCTTTCTCATCAGAAATACACTTATTTTAATTTAATACACTTACTTTCACATGAAGAAACACAAGTAAACATCTAAACAAGGTTCCACCTCTAAATGAAGAGCTACAGGCAATCAGAGACAGCTTTTTGAGAGAGGGAGAACTGGGTTTCTCTAGGGACAAGTAACATGATAGGTTATCCAATCCCAAGTGGTTAGCCGTCAACACATGCACATACGTGCAACACTAAACTGACTCGGTATGTGGTGTATACATTACATATATGTGCATATATATATATATATGTTAAAATAACAATTAAAGAAGAGGTCATGAATTCAATTCCAGAGGGAGTGGGGGAGGCGTAGAAGTTAGAGGAGAGGGAAGGAAGGATGGAAATGATGTAAGTACAGTACTCATGAATGAAAAAAAAATGGCAGAAACTCATTAGCACCAAAGGCCAACAGTATATTTCTTACAAAATCTGGCACTGATATCAAGCAATAGCATAACACAAAGTCAGCAACACCAGGCAGCTTCTTACACTAATAGGAATAACTTATTTTAATAAAAGTTGAATCTGACTGAAATAGAGCATTCTGTAGTCACAAACTCTTAAAACTTTAAGAACTTAAATTGTGAGTTACAAGTTTTAAATGTGTTGAAAGGATGGAAAGAATAGTTTTTTCTTATGTATGTTTAGTAGACTGAAAGAATTATAATAATAAAATAACCAAACAGGATCTTATAATTTGCTTATTCTCTCCCCTCTAGAATAAGACAACTGTACCAATGCAATCCTAAATTACTGTGGAAAAGAAAGCATTGAGCATGGATGGAAAGATACAGCATAGCTGGCTTAATTGTTTTCTTCATGTCTGTTTCTTCTCTGCTGAGATCCTGTATTAAGAGGAGAGAGGCAAGGAAGGAGGGTAGATAGGCACCCCTCTGCTGCAGTAGGAGAGGGCTACTTGCATTTGATTATGTAAATAAAACTATACAAATGGAAAGGTACTGCTTTATATTTTCTTTAGTAACTTCTAACCACAGTGTGTAATGTAGAGGCACAATTTGAAATAAGGCATGCCAATCCATGATGCTGAACCAAGAGCATGTTGTCCATTGTATTCCCTTTCTCCCCAGTCTATTTCTGCTTATGTCTCCAAGTACATGTGTGCTTGCGTGTGTTTTATATTCTTCTTCCTTGGGATTCCCATGGTTTTGCTTAGCTCCATTTGTGGAATTAAGGGGTAGAAATGGCTACTGAAGCCCAAAGAATATTAGAGAAAGTCAGCACGGTCTTAGTTGTTGACAAGCCGAAGATATTTGGGTTTAGATTACTTTATATAAATAGGTAAGCCATATCTTTTATGTATATGTCAATATATATTCTGTGTACATGAAATAAATACACAGTATGTACATAAAACAGTTCAATTAAGACTTACATTAAAAGGGCTGTTACTTCTCACACTAAAGTGAAGGCAGAATAAATTCCTTTTTAGAACTCTGAAGCTGACCATTAGTCATCATGGCAAAATTTCTTAAAGCTAGTACAGAAAACAAAGAATTTCAGAATGAGGATTTCATACATAAATATCAAATAAAGTCGACTTAGAAAAGAAGAAAGCTAATTGGGAAAAAAATAGATAGGAGTGCTTAGAAAATTCTCTAGAAGGGGACTCATAGGAGTGGGAAGGAGACAAGATAGGAAATTGGGGGCAAATATGATAAAATACATCACATACATGTATGAAAATGTTACAATAAAACCCATCATGTACAATAAATGTGTTAACAAACACTAACATGTCTAACTTGAAAGGCAAAGCTTAAATGACAGGATTAGGATTATATTCCTTACTATGTGACTTCAATCATTCTAGTTGATTTTATGATGAACAATGTTTATAATGTTGTATATAGTACTGATGTTTTTGATATAGAAGATGTGTTTATAACTGGTAATAAAGTGTGGCTACCATGTGTATTATGGTATAAATTAGATTCTCTGGAGAGGAGGATGGAAGGAGGAGTAGCTGCACTAATTTCTTCAGATTTTAAAGAGAAGAGTCAGTGGATTCTGTTCACTGCTAATATTTCAAGAAAAAAAAGATTATATTATTGAAAGCAATACAGGCAATCCTTGGAACTAAAAACAGAACCTGTTCACAGAAATAGTGCAAAGCAAGAATGGGAAGTAAGCATCACTTCCTTCTGTGATATTTTAAAGCTGTTTTCTTTTTTTCTTTTTGTGAATTATTTCTACTAAAATGTGAAAATCAAATCTTTACTCATTCTTCTTTTAAATTTTTATTTTTATTTTTTATGTGTATGAGTATTATGCCTCCATGTGTGTAAGTGCATCCATGTCGTGCAGTGCCTGTGGACACAGAAGGGGGCATCAGATCCTTTCTAACCGGAGTTATAGACGGCTGTTAGCTGCCAAGTGGGTGCCAGGATGTGAACCTTGGTCCTCTGCAAGACAGCCAGTGTTCTTAACCACTGACCCATCTCTCCAGCCCCTACTCTTATTTCTTATAGACTATAAACCAAATTTTAGGGGAAGGAATAGGAGGCCTGTAATTCTAGGATTTTTTTCTGTTTTGAAGTATTACTGCAGGTCTACATATCACGAGTGAACTGTCCTCTGGATCATGTCACTCACTGTCCTAGTGCTGCGTGCCACCAGAGGTAAGTTCACCTTTGTCAGAGTTGGTAAAATCACATCTGAAGCAGAACTGATAATCTTTTTTTAAAAAAAATTATTTAAAAAAATTCATGTGTATGAATTTATTGCCTGCATGTGTGTAAGTGCACTTGAGTCATACAATGCCTGTGGTGTCAGAAGAAGGCATTGGATTCCTGGAACAGGAGTTACAAACAGTTGTTAGCAGCTATGTGGGTGTTGGAAATCAAACCCAAGTGCTCTGCAAGAGCAGTGCTCTTAACCACTGAGCCATCTCTCCAGTCCAGCACTGATAATCTTTTATTCTTGTAGTCATTACTTGGAATCATCTTTGAAAAATTTAAACACAACTTTGAGAACCAAAGGTCTTCAGACTGGGGACTTTTTGAAAATTTCCTGTGAGAGCTTGGCTTCCCTGTACCTACACAACCCACCAGCCTCTCTCCTGGGTAAGTCCATGATGCCCTCCGTGCCTTGACTCCCCCAGCCTCATTCACCCTCCCATCTCCCCTGCCTGTCTCTCCTCCTAGCCTGGGACCTGTCCCATTCCTTGTCTTGGCACCCCAGACACCGGGGAAACCACCGTTTCCTGATCCTTTGCATACAGACCAACCCAGTTCATTCTTGGGTCCCCAGAAGCCCTCTGGGCCTGGTCCCACCCGCACCTCCCTCTGCTTCCCTGGGCTGCAAAACCCACCAGCCTCATTCCTGGACACCTGGGCTGATGTCTCGGCTTCCTGATCCTTTGCACCCAGACCAACCCAGTTCTTCCCTGCAGTCCCCAGGAGCCCTTGGGGCCTCTTCCTGCCCCCACCTCCCTTTGCATTTCTGGGTGGCATGGCCACCAGCTGCCCTAGACCAGCATCTTTCCTGGGCCCAGCTCCCAGGCCAGTCCGTCCAACCACCAAATTCCTGAGGCCAAAATCTTTCCTGGAGGGATCCAGACCTTAGGAGAAAGCCTGAGAGCATCAGATCCTCATCTGACTTGGGACTCTGTGGGAACTCCTGAAGACAAAAGCAATCTGGCTACTCCAATATAAAATCAAAAGAGAGAACTGGAAGCTTAGACAAACTAGCTTTTCATGCCCAAATAGTAAACCATAAAAACACATAAATTTAACAAAAAGAAGTAGACCTGAATTTG